GCCACGACAATGGAACTAACCCCATGAGCGTATTAGATAGCGAGGTCGGAGTAGTTTTAAACTTTTGTTTTTTTTTGCTTTTGTTTGCCCTATGACGCTGACGGCCCTAAAGGGACAATAGAGCTGGAAAAAGATCAATGTAACACGAAAAAGAAAAAAAAAGATTTTTAAAAGAACTGAACAACTAAATGATCCGTGGACTGGTGAACAGTGAATAAGCGTTCGTTTCTAAAACTTAGGCAATGCAACACACTTCTGCATTATATTATACACACGCGTTCTGCGTATTGGGTTTACCTTTTTTCTTTGTATAAAAGAGTCATCATGGTTGAGGTTACGCCAATCGCAACGTGTCTTGAAGAAAGATAAACTATCAGAAAGAATATCAATGTGTGTGTGACAGTTTCGTTCTTTTTCACATCGTTGAATTTTTTCGCGAGTTTAATATAAATCTCTACGGATAATCTTCGATTTAATTTTTATACTATAACTTTTCAAACAATTAAATTTTGATTATTCTCTCATCGAATAAAACAGTTTACCAACACCAACAAGAGATGTGTTCACTAAAAAGATGTTGTAATCTACAATTTTTTGAGATTGAACACCAAGTTCGTTTCTATAACTTTGCGTCAAATTATAACGTTGTGAAACAAGAGATAAATAGAAAAAAATTAGATCCAGTTTCAAATGAAACAAAAAAACTGTTATTGATCATGAATATTTTTTTAATTATGTATAAATTAAAAAGTATAGCTGAGACATCTCTCTCTCTCGTGGCACAATAGAACAAATTATCCACAATTATCTCAAGATGAATAAAGTTACACCTCGTTGGATACCCCATCAACTGAATGATGAACAAAAGCAAGAACGGGTTCAACTTTGTCGTGAAAATTTAGCAAAATTTCGTGATGGTTCCTGGCGATTATGTGATATTATTACAGGTGATGAGACGTGGATTTACCATAGGCAGATTCATCACAAGTCAACAAACAAAACCTGGATTGGCGAAGGTGAATCACCGCGTACTATCGTTCGTCGACGCAAATTTGAACGAAGAAATTAATTTTCTATATTCTTTAAATCAAATGGTCCTGTTCTAATACATGCTGTTGATAATGACGAGACTGTAGATCACGACTATTATATAGAAAATTGTCTCAAGCCTGGTGTCAAACAAGTACGGCAGCGAAGAAATACA